TATTAAATATATTAAAGAAATTCCTAATTTAATTTTAATTTTTTTTATATTTCTAAGATTTGAATTTAAGTGCAAAATAAAACGAGCACGAAATCAATCAGCAGAACATGATTAGGCGTAGTTTAATTTAATCCACTAATTAATTAGGTGATCCCACAACAAGAAGGCCCTCAATCACACAAGTTTTCATATCCCATAATTATTGTAGCTTTATGGTGCCTTACAATCTTTACTACTGTTTCAACGATTGTAAAGTTGACACGTGTTGATCAATTACGCAATCCAGAATGAATTTTAAATTTTACTGTGGTTATTAATTATTCCAAGTATGGGAGTTGATATAAGTGATTAATGCCTAGAATCTAAGGTTAAATTGTTTGATAAAAGTTCGAGTTTTGATATTTGACTTTATTAATTTTTTAATTAAATTAAATTAATTTAAGACAAAACTTTAAAATACCGGTGTAAAAGAAAACAATCTCGATTCATTAGAGACACTTCAAATGGTGGGATAGCTGGTCCCAAGATTTAACACGCTGCATACACAAGACAGGAAAGATTCGAACAATCTCGGTTCATTAGAGGCACTTCAAAGGGTAGGATAGCTGACCCCAAGATTTAACGCGCTGCATACACAAGACAGGAAGGATTCGAACCCCTAACCTTAGGTAAGCATGGATCAATTCCTACCGCTAAACCACACGCTTGGAGTTAAATTGTTATTATATTTAAATAAAGGAATGTAATATTTTTAATAAATTTTTTTTTTGATCTTTTCCATTTTACTCTTCTTATTTTTTTTCATAATAATAAATATATATTAATGATAAATATTATAAATTAATTAAAAAAAAATAAAATGAAAAGACATAAAGTATTTCCTCTATATTCATATGTACGTAAAAAGATATCTAAACTCATCCAAATTAATGAAATTAGTTAAATTTATTTAATTTTATATAAAAAAATAAAACGTGATTCCATTTTTTCTATTATAAGCAAAAATAACCGATTTTACGCATATTAAAAAAATTAGTTATTTATTTAAAATTTTGATATTCTCATAAGACTTTTTTTAAATTATTCTTGTTATAAATAGTATAAGAAGTAATATAATTAAAAAAAATCATGTATTTAATTAGAAATATTTTGAAGAAAATATCATTAAATTGTGTAAAAATAATTAGATTTGTTTATATTTAAGAAAAAAAATATATATGGTTTTTTTTCTTATAATAAAGAATAGATAGATTATTTCCTAAACTACCCTTAATAATATTTATTAAAAATACTAATCACATTTAATTTAACGGATATCTTTTAAATGATAATATTAAATAGGGTCAAGTCAATTAAAATTTGCTTATATTTGAATAAAAAGAATTTTTTTGCTAATATAAGAATTGAAAGGAAGTAATTGACAACAAAAAAAATAATGTTTTCTTGAACTTTGAAAATAATGCATAACTTGAAACAATTTTTTTCTTTAAAATCCCACAATTAAAAGGAAATGGGAAAAGTATTAATCTTGCTCTGTACACACGTTTGTTTTAACCATGGTTAATGATTAAAATATTTTTTTATTAATTTCTTTTTTAATGCCCTATTTTCTCAATTTTATAATGATTGTAGTTATAATATTTTAAAAAATCTTAACATGAATAATATTTTTATTTTTTAATGTAATATTATATTTTTTTAAATAAATTATTCAATTATCATAGTTAAAATTGTTGTATTTATTGAAAGTGTGGACTATTTTAGTATAATATTACCAAAAATGGTTGAATTGCACTTTTGATTATTCTATTTTTGTCAATATATAATTTTGGTCTTCCTATTTTAAAAAGTACAAAATTTTTAGTTCTTTCATCAATTTATTGTTCATATTTTGTTACTATCTAAGTGATGTAATATATAAGAATTAAAATATAAAAAAAACAATATACAAAAGATTTTTATTTGTATATATTTTAACAAGTGATTGCTATTTATTTTTATTAATAAATTTTATTTGTCATATCTTGTTTTAGTTATTTTAATCCATGAATATCATTACTAAATGTTACATAACTTAAATATAAATAAATGTTAAATTTAATAATTAATATATATCAATTTTATAGAAGATCAAAATTTCGTAATTTTTAAAATAAAGAGACTAAATATGACTATTTTAAAATAGAGAAACAAAAAAATGTGAATTAACAAAAATAAAAAGATCAAAAATACAATTTACCTATAAAAAAACAATCTATCTATTATTGTCCTTAACTTGTGTGTAAAAACCTTAACGAACTATTATTATAAGATAATTAGAATATTAAACTAGAATTTAATATCACATAAAATAAAATAGTAATTTTATAAAAGTAATCTTATGATTAATTTTTTTTATTAAAAATAATGAAATACAACAATCACTTTCTTAATAATTTTATTAAAGTTATAAATTGAAGAAAAGGTAATAATTACTATATTGAAAATGTAACATTACCCTTATTTTATTATTTTTGTTCTCATGTGATACTTTTTATAAGACGGAGTATTGCATTATTATTAACATATAACAACCGGTGTAAAAGAAGGTACCGTGACTTTGTAGTATTTTCTTTGAATCCACAAATGTTATTATGTTAAGGAGGGTACTGTTTAACTCTTGAAATTCAATAATAATTTTAAAGGATAAAATATTTACATAAAAAGAATTTTGTGTCCTTTATTAAATATTATTGTATAATTTTTATAAAGATTAAAATTTTGAAAAAAAAATTGTACATTAAAATAAGAAATTATTTTTATACATAACTGACATAAAAAAAAAAAAAAAAAAACACTTCACACCTGCATGTATTTTTAATAAGACAAAATTAAAAGTGAGTAGTTAATAATAATTTTTTTCATAGGTAATTGTAAGAGTAGTTTAAAAAAAAAATGGTGAAATGAGAAAGAATAATTTGAGAGATGATTATAAAGATAAAAGTGTATATCATAATTCTCTTCATTAATAGTATAGATTAATAATAATAATTTTTTTAAATAAAAAAAAGGTGAAAAGCATGAAAACCTCGTAAGTCGTAACGCGAGAGAGTGAGGCAAAAGGGTTATAGGTTTGGCGGATGAGTGGTGAGAAGGGTAAACTCAGCCTTTCTTTCTTTCTTTCTTTCATCGCACTGTTCCTTTCTTCTCACGTGCGTCATCGCCATCACTATCGCTATCATTCATCTCAATTCTCATCACCCTTTTTTTAAATCATTTATTTCCCATTTTAACTTTTATTCTACTACGGGTAAGTTTTATGAAACACAAATTATTCTTTATTTTATAAATTATATCTTTCCAATAAATTCATAAAAATTACCAGAGTTAAATCAAATCAACCAAGATGTTCCAATATTACTTTTTCTTTTTTCTTTTTCATAGATGTTATCTTAATTCACTAAACCAAAAAACAAATTATTCAAATAAAGTCCAGTTGCGTTCTTTTCATAGGTTATGTATTATCCTAGTATTTTAATTAGTTTCTTATAAAGTACACGATAATTTTTTATTCAATATAATTAAATTTATACTAAATAAAATTCTTAAATATATAAATTATATTATATTTATAATAAAATATTTTTATATTATAAAGTACACGATAATTTTTTATTCAATATAATTAAATTTATACTAAATAAAATTCTTAAATATATAAATTATATTATATTTATAATAAAATATTTTTATATTAAAAATTATATTTTAAATTTATAATAAATAATTTATATTATATAATATTATTGATAATTCTTAAGAAAAATCAATCTTAATTTATAAATAAAATTGAAAATAATAAATCAAAAGGAATAAGATGTTAAAATTCTAAAATTATTCTCATTAAAGAAAAAAAAAACTGCAAATACTTGTTAAAAATACTTTGAGTCTCATATCTTATTTAATAAATATCTCATGACGATAGAACTCATTAAAATTTATGATTTTAAATCAATAACAAGTAAAATATTAGAAAGAAAGTGTTAAAATAAGTTTCATTAACATTTCTCCGTTGAAATCATTCCTACACGCACTCCTGTTCGAAAATATTTATTCTACTTTTTATACTTATAGAAGACATAACAAAATATTTTAATAAGTAATAGTAAAATTGTCTTATACATTATTGCATATAAAATATTAAATTTCACCAAAAAAGGATAATATTAATATTAATATGTAAATAAAAAACATTAAAATATATACCGACAAGACGTTGGTAGAGTGTAAGAAAATCTAGTCTTTTAAGTGAAGGAAAAATAAATATAATTAAGAAGAAAAACTGAACATAAACGACTAATTTTTTTATAAAAAAAATTGGTTAATCGAATCAATACTTCACAAATCACATCAATAAAAAAATAACATGAATAAAAAATTAGTAAAATGTAGTTATTTTTGTGTAAACATAAAATAAATGTATAAAACTAAAAAAAACATAAATATATGATTGAACATATTTTTGTAGATATATTTTAGTTTTAAGAATAAGTTTAAAATAGAAAATAATATTTAAAATTATTTCAAATATATATTAGATAAAAATTGTTATATAAATTATAATTTAATGCAAAAGTTAGATTCTTTCTTCCTTTAGTTGAAACGTACTATTCTTAAAACTAATAATTAAACACTAATCTAACGTAATTTCTCCTTATCAAACATTATTTTTACCCGACTCCCAGCTTGATTCTAATTAATCTTCCTTCTGGCAACGTGTAAAAATGCAGAAGGAAACATAAGAATAACATCGATATTTTTGCGTACAAGGATACGTAAAATAATAATATACGTTAAACAACAATCTTAAATATTTTCTAATCATTTAGCAAGCATAAAAAAAATAGTGATAAAGCAAGAGATTTGGGAAAACGACAAAACCCAGAAACCCAGTGTCAGAAATACCTGCAACCCAGCGAGAAAGAAAGGAGCAGAGACACACACACACATACATTATTACTATTACAATTATACATACATACTTCAGTTGTTACCGGGAATAGCCGGTGGCCATACGGTTTCTGGAAACCCTATAGCTCTTCGTCTTTCAAGTCTTTGCACTTTGTTCCTTGTTTTGATGGGAGAAGAAAGAATCTGTGTTGTTCACTCTGAGCCACATCACTGTAGCGAGAGAGAAACAAAGAAAGAACCAAAGAAGGAATTTGAGTGTGCGTGCTGCGAAACCAAAACCCAAAAAGCCACACAAAACCCATACCTCAATTCCCATTCATTAAAATCTCACTTCACGTATCTAACTCACTATATGGATACACATAGATAGAACAAACTCAACCACTTTCTCTCTCTCTCTCTTTTTCTTTATCATGCTTCTTCAGAATAACATCACCATAACTACTACACATACCCTTTCCTCCCGTTAACTCCTTTTCTCTCTAACTTGTGTTGAAGAGCTTCGTTTTCAGCTTTTGTGTTTTTGTTTGCTTGGTCTTTTGCTATGGCCGAGGGTTTTGAGGCTTACCATGTGCCACAACAAAGCAGAAGAGATAAGCTAAGAGTTGTGGCGACGCAGAACCAACATGGTCTCGTTGAGCCCTCGACTTTGCTTCCTTTGTACGACCCTTCTTCGTTCATATCTTCTGATTTGTTAACGAGTTTCCACAACAACCAGAAACACAACCTGGGTTGTGGTGTGAAGGAAGAACGTTCGAATTTGATGATGGGTTTTGCAGCAGGAGGAGGAGGAGTCATGAACAATGGCTCTTCTTCTTCCTCGTGCTGCTCCTCTAACTCCTCTTCGGTTTCTTACTTGGATCCTGAATCGTCTTTACCTTTGAACCAAGCTACAATTCAGGTTATTAACAACAACAACAATAACAGCAGCAGCAACAACATGTTTCTCTACCAAGCACAGAACCTGAGAGAGTTCGATCAGGGTTATAATAATAATAATACTAATAATAGTGAGATCATGGTGTTTAAGCCTGAGCCTTTGTCTTTGTCTCTCTCATCGCACAACAACAACAGTGTGAATCTTCAGCGATATGGATCTGTGGTTTATGGTGAAAAGGTTGGTGGGGTTGGTGGTGGTGGTGGATGTGTGGTTTATGGTGGTTCTGGGTTGAGTGAAGTTTCGAGGGGCACAGTGCCAATGGGGCCATTTACCGGCTATGCTTCTATATTGAAGGGATCGAGGTTCTTGAAGCCTGCGCAGCAATTATTGGAAGAGTTATGTGATGTTGGTGGAGTTTGTGCTGAGAAGATGGTGGCTGATGCATCGTTGATGGAGCCTATTCCTCCTCCTGAGAGTTCAAGTGAAGATCCACTAGGGGATCATGGGGGTGATCAGGGTCGCAAAAAGTCAAGGCTGTTAACTATGCTTGATGAGGTTTGTGATTTTTGTTTGTGTTAATATCCTGTTTTTTTTTTTTTTTTGTTTGTGTTATTGTTACATGATATTTTTTGGTGAAAGGGTATTTTTTTTTATTTGTTCATGTTTGATGTTCCTGTTGATTTCAGTTTTAGTCCTTCTGTCCAGTTATGTCACTGCTTTAGTTTAGTTTATCCAGAAGAAAAATGGGTTGTTGAGTAAATTAAATTTGCTATTTTTTTTTCTTTTTTTTTTTTTTGTATTTTTTAAGGTGGGGTGTGAAAGCTTGCTCATGTTATCTATCATTAATGTGTAGTTAGTGATTCCTTGAAAGTGGAAGGTTGCTTAGATTCTGATTGATTGTATTGAGTAAGCGTGTGGTTTATGGTGTTATTTTGGTGATTATGTCATTGTAATTTATAGTTTTCATGGATGGTTTTTTAACTGTACATTCTATGTATATCATTAAGATTCTTGTATTTCTTGTGATGGATGGCCTCGGTGAGTTGATTGTCCTTTTGGAAAAGTTAATGGGAGGGAATATATGCACGAAGATTGGCATTGTAAAGTGTCTGTCAACTATATAAAGATTTCTAATATGTGACTATGTCACCCAGTTTGGAGGGATAATTTGCATAAAGTTGTTAAAGGAATCCATCGGAAAAGATTTATACTCCGAAAAAGTGTGTGGCGATATGATCATGGGGTTCAAAGGTTAAAGAAACTTACATACTTAGATGACAAGGTGTTTTACCTTTATGTATGATTGGCTTTATTTGTTAAATATTATTTTAATTGACATGTACCGAAGATGTGGATACTAAAATAGTAGAGCATGTCATTCTATTTAATATTCACTCTATTTTTTCTGCCAATTATTGTTAATAAGTTGTTTTTGCAATAAAGTGGCCTTGTATGATATGGTGCATATTAGGCGATATTATGATTCTGTATTGGCATGTTGGACTTTTATATGTACTGTCGGACAATATTAATTATGGTGTAGCGTTATTAAACAAATATATGTGTCATGCATGGTTTGTGATGTTTATCTAATAAGGATACATGCAATTTGTTATATCAATTTTTAAATATTAATTTTATATTGAATTTGGTCTTTTTCCGAGGCAGATGAAGCTGCAGTATACAATATATTTTAATCTTAGACCACAAATGTATCTCTTAACAAACTAGCAAAGCACCTTCAGCCGAAGAAAAATGTGAGGCTATGCTTGTACTATGTTAGTTAGCTGGTGGCCTTGTAAAAAAATTTAAGGTTTAATGTTCCCTTATACATTGTCTCAGATTGTTCCTGGGTAATTGAACAACTCTGAGAAATAAAGGTGATAACATTGATGAAGTATATGCATTTGTTCTATTTGTATGCTTCCTTTGGTTTTTCTCTGTTTAAACCTATCACTGAAAGGTATTTATGTGAGTCCGATGGTTTTTGGAGATAAGTGTGGTGGAAAAAAAATGTTTATTCTGCCACATCAAGCAGAATTTTTGTTTCACTTTATTTTCTCCCACCTCATTTTTTACTTTACATTTCCTCCTGCTTATGGGAGTGATTGGTTCCGTTTTGGACCGCATAAATGTTTTGGAATATTGATCAATAAGTGCAAGGTTGACATGGTGTAAAAGTCATTTAAGTTGAAGTGATGTGTAAAATTCATGAATCTGGACAAAAATTTATTATTACTTTAAAGTGTGAAAGAGTAAATTCAAATATTTATTTTGATTTGAAAACATTAGATTGCATATTTATCTCATTTTGAAGTGGATGAAATTTGTTAAGCATGAAGTCAAGTTGTTCCAAGTCTTGTTCTTCATTCTCTCAATTTAGCTGTTCTTCTAAACATTCAAGAGATGTCCCCTTTTCTGTAATGTTATTAAACATTTTGGAAGATTGGGTTTGGTAAATTTGAGACATGCAAAAGAACTCTCTTTGAATTTCGTCTTCCTGGATTTGTAATGTATATAGTTTCCTCCCAATTATTTTTCTAATGGTAAGGACTTTTTTCTTGTGAGGTAACAATAAAATTCCTATTCTTACAATTCTCTTGAATTTCAGAATTTGTGATAAATGACAATCGAAGTCATTGGTGCAATCTTAAACTTATAAATGCCGAATTTTTAGAAATGTGTCAGCCAGCAAAGTTGATTTAATTTTATGGAATCCTGCTTGCCCACAAATGGACTTCAAACTATCAATTGTTGCATGAAATCCAAGTGATCCACCCTATGTCTAGGTCTTTAGGTTAAAATTTATTGAATACAGGCTAGGAAATTGGCAAGTTTGTGTGGTTTGAGTAAGGTTTTGTTATATATGTTTTCCATTTAATTTATCTGTCTTGTTAGGGTGTCTAGGTAAATATATTATTTAATATGTGGACCTTCACATGTGAAATGGTGATGTGTGGGTGATATTGGGAACTCAATAGTGAGCCTCAAATTGCTTTTGGCTTCATGAAACAAGTTGCAAAGAGTACATTACTGCTTTGAATCATTGTGAAGGAGTCCTATCATCTTGAAAATGGATCTATGGTTTTGAGATTACCACCAAAATCATGACTACTAATGCAGTTTAAAGCCAAGTTGGTGTTGTTAAGGATTATTAACCTTTCTATGTTTTTTTATTGAGAAATTGATGATTGTTTCTGGGAAATTTTAGTCTGGTCTTCAAATGGCCCAAGAATCGATCAGGCAGTGAAATGTGTTTTGCTTGCTTTCCTAAAGTAAAATGCCTCCTCTGATCTTTCAGTAAAATGCCTCCTCTGCCTTCCCCCAAATGAATGAACACTATTCATTAATTTGCCACTAATATGGTTTCTGTTAATAAACACAAGTTTTTACATATGTCTCTTTGGGGGACACTTTTGTCCAAACGTATAATCTTTTATAAAAGTTCAGATATTAGTTGATCTTGTTAGTCCCGGTGTACCTCCAACTCAGGTGTATGTAAGTACAGTTGTTATAATAAAACAGCTTCTTTCATACTCTTGTTTGTCAAGTTATTTGTTATTTGATATCTGTATCCTGTACGAAACTTGCAAAGATGGAACAATATTTGCCAGATGTGAGAATTTTCTGTTGCTTAGTAAACCCCAAGCATGTGGCACTACATTTCTCATTTTGGCTAAATGTGAAAACTCTCGGTTTGAACATTTAAAAACAAAATGACATAATCTTCCTTCTTTGGACAAGGTTCATAGTCTTTATGATAAAATATGAATCAGTTAAAATATTTATAAAGCTAATGTAGTTACAAATATTGGCAGTTTTACAATAGCATGCAATGAAGTTTCCATGGCCTATATATAGGGCCTTCATGTGTAGTTCTTTGTTATATGGTGGGATAATAAAGTGGTCTCTATTAACCTTTTTGGTTGAAATTAGACCCTGGCTCAGCTCCAGTGGATGTGGATGGTAACATTAGTAATCATTTCTGCTTTCATATCAATGCTATGGGCCTGTTTGGATATAAATTAGAGGCGTTTTTAGTAGTTTCTTTAAATGAAATAAAGAGTATTATTCAATAGAGAAACTATAAAAAAGCGGTTTTAAACTTATACTCAAACATGTCCTAAGTTTAATGATTGAACATACCGGAGCAACACATGTCCAAGAATATTTCCTAATTGTGAGAATTGTTCATTTATCCGGAACAGGTTTACAGGAGGTACAGGCAATACTATCAGCAGATGCACGCAGTAGTAACATCATTTGAGTATGTTTCTGGCCTCAGCAATGCAGCTCCCTATGCAAGTTTGGCTATAAAAGCCATGTCCAAACATTTTAGATGCTTGAAGAATGCAATTACTGACCAGCTTCAGTTTGCCAATAAAGCTCATTTTCACATCAGCAACAGGAAGGATGAATCTCCAAGGTTTGGCAACAGTGATAGAGGCCCTTACAGTCAAAGGCCAGGGTTTCTTGAGCACCAACCTGTCTGGCGGCCTCAAAGAGGACTCCCCGAGCGTGCTGTCACTGTTCTTCGAGCATGGTTGTTTGAGCACTTTCTGCACCCGTAAGTGCCCCATTTTATGTTTATTAATATGAAGGATAAAACATCATTTGAGGCTTTGAAAGTGTATGATGCTTGTACTTTGGTCCCTAAAGGTATAAACATTCAAAAAAGAAGTCTCTGAAAAGCGTAAAACATTATTCACTTTAGTTCAAAATTCCAAAAAAACATGTGATTTAAATGATTATATTAATTATGTTTTGAGATTAAAATGAAAATAATTAATTACTTTTGGGAACTTAAATGAAACAACTAGAACTTTTAAAGGCTTTTTTGAATTTTCTTACTATATGGAATGACGTGTCATCGACATGTATTTTGGAGACTTTTTAGGGATTTGAATGGTGTTTTACCCGAATATGAATCACGAGTTATGCCTTGTTAGATCCGGCTCCTTTGAAGTAACTCACTTTAGAGTGTAAAGAAAATGGTGTGTTAAAATGAAAATCAACTGTTGATATATTGTACACATGCATAACAAATCATGAATGTGTTGGAATATCAACAATTTTATATTTTCATCAACAAATGAGATTATTTTTTTACCCTTACTAGTTTTAGAGGGGAGTCAAATCCAAATTTACTATACCTGGCATCAAGATTATGATTATTCTGCCAACACTATGGCATTATGCATCTATATACATTTGAACTCCTTTCTTGTGTGTAGTGTGTTTTGATTGCTTAGTTATTTGCTTTTTATACAGTTATCCCACTGATACTGACAAGCTAATGTTGGCTAAACAAACTGGTCTATCTCGTAGCCAGGTAAATAAAGAAAGTTCCATCCTTTAAGTGCATGTTTGGTTTAACTTATTTTGAAAGGAATATTATCTTGTCTTTTTTAGTTTCTTGAGTATTTTTCAAAAATAATCTCTATCCAAACATGTACACAACCTTTTTCATTCTTATTGATTAATGAGTTTGTTCTTCTAATGTTTGAACATTTTTATGTGTCAGGTGTCTAATTGGTTCATTAATGCAAGAGTAAGGCTCTGGAAACCAATGGTGGAAGAAATACACATGCTAGAAACACGTCAAGCTCAAAAGAATCCACAAAAAGAAGAGCATTGCAGGAACAAGTCAAGTGATCATTTGCCTTCTGATAACTCCATTGTTTCTGAGAATCCATCATCCTCCACAGATAAATTTCAGGAAGCTCCTTACAAGCGCGCAATAAACGAAGTTCCTAACATTCCAGTTAGGACTCAGGAACAACTGAACCTTCCCTGCACAAGCAATCAGGCAGGAGGGGGTGTTGGAGTGAGCATGGGTGGTGGCAGTGCAAGCAACAGTGTGTCACTGACACTAGGCCTTTACCAAAATCATGGTATTGGTTTGGCTGAACCTTTCCCTTTGAATGCAGCTCAGCGTTTCGGTGTTGGTCTAGAAACCAACAATGAAGGTTATGTTATGAGTGGTTATGAGTCACAAAATAGGCATTTTGGAAGAGATCTCATTGGAGGACAACTGTTGCATGACTTTGTGGGCTGAAGCTCTTCAATAATATAACTTGCATGGAGTTTTAATATGATTGGGGTGATATATACTAACAATGTTTCTGTTGTGCCTTCATGAATTATCTAGAGTTAGAAGAGGGATTCGAATATTGCACTATATGGTGATACTGGCAGTGATGAATGAACCTTCCAGTTATGGGGATTAACTGGTGTTTTTATTGAGCTCACTTGTATGAAGGTTGTAAAATTATTGTGTAAATTCATTTGAGGGTTGAGGGGGTGGGGATTGATATTGTGTCATAGGCTGATCCAATTCATCCTTGTGTTGTTGACCTTAAATGCTTGGAGTAAATCCAAATATTCTGGCTGTTTCACCTGTTTGTATGTTATTTTTATTTATATTTTATACTGTTGTCATCCAAACCAGGTAAATGGATTTAAATTTGTAATATTTGAAATCTTGTACAACATGATTGTACAAGTCATGATGTTAGTTACTATCTTGGGGTCTTCATAATGCAAATGTAGACCCTATATATATGGGAACTTGCAACTCCTCATGTCCACTAATTGAAATGTCAATTATTATGGATAATCTCATTCGTTTGCCTTTTCCTATGTTAATTACATTTTGGATCGCGTGTGTAGAAAAATTGGGTCGTCCATTAGCATGCTAAATCATCGGCTACACTGAAAATTGGGTTTGATTGACACAAAAAACAAAAACAGCACCTTTGCGCATGAAATTTGAATAAAACCCCAAAATCCATGAAGATCACGTCACTTCAATTTTCCACTAGATAGCAGAACATTGAACAAAATGCATTCCCGCAAAAGTAGAAAGGACACAATAATTAAAAAAAGAAAAAAGATGAAAACAAAACCATCAGAACTCGTCTAAAAATTTTGATCATTATGATTGACTAACATTTTATATCAACTAATCCCAAAAAAATTCAGTTAATAAATTAAAGTTTGCTTTTTACCACTCTGTCCTAGAGGGGTACTATATCATTTTGGTGCACTACTAGATGCGAAGACCTTTAGCAGATAGGACATAAAATAAGTTATTAACTAAAAATAATCACAAACACTTATCAATTACGCACACAAAGCACAAAATTGAAGGGAGGGGTAGGGGTGAAAGTGAAAAGAAAAAGGAATGAAAGGGAAGGGGATTAGCTCGATGTGGGTTGCTCAGTTCTAATGGCCCAGTCATCCAACAGGCCCAACAGTGTACTAAATTTTTTTAGTTGGGGTTTGAAAACATTCTTACTAGTAGAATAATATCATTTATTGTAATAATAGTATTTTAGGTCGTATAATGCACATGTTAGATATTTATTTTATATAATTAAAGTTTATAATAAATTATATATGCAAATATATATTATGTTTGAATATATAAATTATATTTAAAATTTGTATAAATAGATATTTTTAAATATATAAATTATATTTTATATTTATGGTAAATAATTTATATTATAAGATAATATTATTTTATTTATTGATATTTTATTTTAAAATATTAAATTTTAATTTATAAATACTTATAATAAATAAAAATCAAATCAAATAAGAAGTTAAAAGAATCTCTAAAATTATTTCATCAAAAACAATCTCCAGAAAAGGTCTCAATAGACATTTGTGTTTAATTTATAAAAGTTAATTTAATATTTTTGCAAATGTTATTCGATGAAAGTATTAAAGTTAATCATTAATAATACTAATAGTAACTTCTCTAACAAAGAAGACAAAAAAATGTTTTAAAAATCGAATCAGTGATCAAATTGATTAGGATACTGAATCAATGAATCAAAGGTTAAATCGGTAGGTCACTAATCAAATCGCATGATCCAATCTCTATTAATTTTTTTTTAAAAAAGATTATCCATGTAATGTATATTTTATATTTATAAATTTCAATAAAATTCATACCATATCTTAAAGAAATCACAAAAGAATTTAGTCCATATAATAATACTACATAGCATCTTAAAGCAGACAGATTCTTATATTAGAAATATAAATATCTTTCTGTTGTAAGTTTGTTAGTTTCATTATTGTTGTTATTTCTCTAAGCTTAATTGGTAGGTAGTTAATTTTTGTAATCAAAGTCTTTATATAAGGCTCTTTCATTCAATAATAAGATGTATTTCTTTTTTGTAAAATTCTCTAAAATGGTATTATTTTAAAACACCCTTCTTTTTCCCTTTTCATCGTCTCCTTCTTTTCTTTCTTGTTTATTTTGCAACCATGATAATCGTTGATACCTCCAACAAGTACTACATATATCCCAATGAAAACACATCCCTCATTCTTGTTTCCTTTATTCTTAATGGATCCAATTATCATAGCTAGTCTCGCTTAATGGCCATGACATTAGAGATGAAAAATAAAGTATCTTTTGTAGACAACACTCTCAAGAAACATGCTTCAAATGATTCCAAATTCCCAATGTGGAAATGCTACAATACCCTTGTTCTTTCATGGCTCATCCATTCAGTTTCCTAAAAAATTGCTCACAATATCATCTACATTAATATTGCATTTGATGCATGGAAAGAACTTAAGCAACATTTTTCTCAAGGTGACCATGTTCATGATGGTTCGATCAATAAATCAATTAGATTGTATCAGTAAATATCGAATGAACTACCCATCTAATTAACCAAGTGTGTGTTTGGGTTATAGTTAAAAAATTAAGTTGAGTTAAACTTAATTTTTTATATTTAAATTTAGTTAAAAGTGGATTAAGTTAACATAATTCATGTTTGGGTTTTTTTTCTTAAAAACACTTTTATCAACAGTTTTATAAAATTTATAATTTTAATTTTATTAATAAATATTATCTATTAACCATTAAAATTATAACATTGATTATGAATTTATATATTAAGTAGATGATTAGATAATTAATATTTAATGATATTTAGATTAAATTATACATTAAATTTTCATTTTTATCCTAATTCTATTATTATTTTTATAAGATAAAAATAAAAATTGAAAGTATATTTTAGTTTAATTATTATATCATTTAGATATTTTTAATGTTATAATTTCAAGAGATAATGAACAACCATTTAGTAGTGAGATAAAAATTGTAAAGTTTATAGAATTAGAGTAAATTTATAAAATTATAAGTCAGGGAAACAAAATTGCAGATTAAATATTATAGGGATAAAAAGTAAAATTTATCTTTTGTTTTAATATTTAATTTAAGAAAAAAGTTAAAAATGAAATAATAGTATAATATTTTTGATAATGTGACAATTAATTAGATGAATTTTTTTTTATAACGTGACATTTTTATGACAAAACACTAAACATGCCAATAGGCGGAACAAAGGTGAGTTTTACTTTTAGTTCTCATCTTTGTCCTCGTAAAAAGCCAACGAGTTCTGATTTGGATAAACTCATAGGGAAATCTTAGTACTTTTTTATAATTTTAATTTAGTTCAAAATTTTTAAATAAATTATATTTTAAGTTATTAATTATATATAATTCAAATAATATATAAAATTAATAAATAATGAATAATTTTAAATAAAAAATTTAAGAATTAAATTATAT